TCATCACGGCACAGTCCTTCACCAATTTCTTGCTGGTGTAACGAGAATACTATACAAAGCACATGATTCATCGTTAAGTGGTCACCTGGAAAGAGAAATGACTCAATCCTCGGTGAGTGCTATAAATTGGTGTTCTAACATGTCAAAAGCATTAAGCCCAAATGTGTCGACATGTGAAATGCGTCAATAAGCTAGACTCTCACCACATTCGGCAGAACCGATGACCGGCCTGCTGGTGCGGCAGAATTCTAGCAATTCATAATTATGGGTTTTAGTTTTGATCATTGATAAATTGCGTTCAATAATACCAGTATTGTGATTAGAGTGAACCATCTTAAAAAGTCGCTGATGAAAGCGATACTGATACAGTTGAATAAACTGTCAAGCTGTACCTCATAAAAGTGTTTCGCAAACATGGTTTCTTGAAAGCTATTGTATTAGATGGGGACATTTATAGTTTGAGCGAGCCTATTTGCCGTGATAAGCGCCTGTTTTAAGTTGACAACCGCTTCCGATCCGCAAACAGATGGTCAGAGGAAACACATCGATCTCGTTGTGGAAAATACCCACTGGAGAACTTGCGCGGAAAGACAGTGATGCTAAAGGAAGTTGCATCCACTCATTAGTTTACGCCGAAAAACGCGGACAATGAATTACGCACTTTATCTCACTCTATGTCAACGTTTCTTAATATTTTGATAGGCCTCCGGGTACCTTGGACACGGCCACGAAGTGAAAATGTTCGAAACGGATGGCGCGTCGATCTCAGCCAACTTGCTGACATCAGTCTGGCCACACTTCGTAATGACATTAGCTGTTCTCTTTCATATTCAGCGTTCGATGATGGGTGCGCGACGCTAAGCTAAAAGGCAAGGCAGCAAATAATAGAATAATAGCATCACGATACCGGAGGCTGACGGAACACACACGAATGTGCTGCGAGGCCTTTTTATCGAATACCCTTAACCTGAAATCTGATGATTATAACGGCTACGCTTCGACCGCTCTATATCAAACCGTTACAATCGAAGCGAAAAAAAAGGAATGAGTTAAATTTCTAAATACAAAAAATATCCAAATTGCATTTGCATAGACTTACTAAATTCGTACCAAGCGAGTCAGATGTAAAGATCTCTAATCTCGACGATACAGTGTTTCCACCCAAGCAATCCTTTGCTTCTAACGAGCGAGGCGGATCCGAGGTGCTAGTGGTGTCTTAAGGCAGAGCTCAAAGCTCAAATCTGATATCTGATTCATCTCCGCTTTGAACGCGCGTCAAAACGTTCGTATGGATTTGACATGCTGCCACAACAAGAGAAATCACAAGAGCTGAACGCGGGAGTATCGACTTCAGCTGGCATAAATCAATATACAAGAAGTGACCCACTTTCACCTAAAACGTATGGTAGGTCAGGATTCACACTAGGGCTGTTAGTGAAATGAATAGAATACCTTTATTTGACAAAAGGTTTACACGCTTTGGCGGAAACACGTAGCTCGTGCAGAAGAGAAGCTGAGAGTTGTGAGCGCCTTCTCTTCGGTGAATAGACGGACCGTATGGCAAGGGTGGGAGCGAGGTATTTTGAAGAGTCACTATGACCGCTCTGATGGGAAAGCACCTTAGTACTTTCACCTAGGAGTGTCATTGGCTAAGAAGATTGCACTTTCAAGGGAGCCCGCTGAACCATTTGACTGAGTATCCTGGGTGTATTACTGGCACATGTATGCTTGAGGAACAGGCACGGCAAAGCTCAAAAGATGGTTCAGACTCCAACTATAAAAACAGCTCGTTGCGCTGTCACTTTAACGCAGTGGTTGAGCAGTCAATGCAGTGTAAACCTTAGTGTGGCTTACATCTTAGTGTGGGTGGGTGTGGCGGTGGAAGTACTGAAATCATGTTAACCGCTCCTTACACGCAGCAGGGCTGCCGTAGCCTTTTCGCTGAGAGAAAGCTTGGATAAGGTCACCGTCCTTCGTTCTATACTCAAAACCAGTACGAGTGTAGTGTATCTTAATTCGCTTACTCCAAGAGTAACTACAACCTTAACCTAAGGCTAGTTTATCCTTTCGCTTAAAGCGCAAACTGTATTTTTCGGTTCTATTTGCGGCAATGCCGCCTATATTTAAATCTATAGGATTTTCTATCTATATAGAAAAGCCTACTTAAATGCAGAATTACTGGCTGGTCCAGCCACGTACTGACTTTTTGTTTCATTGTAGCCTCATCATTGTGTAATCACTCCATCTTGTGGGACCCCTACTCTTCATACCTGGGCACATGAAACCCCCGTTACAATATAAGCAACCAACAACCCTGGGCTGTGAGCCCCACTCATTGCCAAAAGTGTATCTTCTCTGAGGGCTGTGTCCAATTACATTTGACCTCCACGATGTGAAATAGATCCCAGACTTTCCATGCAGACCGCATTGCGCCTACTGGAGCATGACGTTTCCTTGTGAGGGTTTGGTCCGCTGCCCTTGCGGTGAGATCAATTCTTCATAGATCTGATCCGAGAGTAAAGGGGGTACGCGAGACGCATGGATTTTGTAATCTCACAGATAAAACATCTGTAGGCACCGCGGGCCGCTCAGCCGCTAAGGGCGCTACATCATACTTCTTGATAAAACAAATCTCAACGTATCTGGCATGTTCATAGACCTTACTTATCCGGTACCCCATCCGACTCTTGTGTCACGGAAGCCGTACTCCGCTTTAAATGTCTTCCTTTAAAAGGATTGGGCGGACCCTGAAAGGTCATGGTGCAAGCCACACCTGTTCGTGGATTATCCCTGAGGATAGTAATTCTTTTCACCGCAAGGGGGTTTGATGTAAATTGCGTGAACAAAAGCTCTCAGCTTCTGGACATGTCTGCTAATTCTTGTTCTCTCGGCGAACAAACACAAAACTCGAATGCAACCGATCTCGTTGCGAGCACCGCAACATCTATCGCCTTGTAATCTATCCTTGTGGACATTTGTGCTTACTTTGTGCGCAGCGTCCTAGCTTATTGACGGCAAGCGCGACACGCCTGCGCTTTCTTTGAAGCATGACATTCTCATCTTATCTCAGTCAGAGGGTAAAATCTCACCGTCCCGGCCCTTAAAAGTCTTAAGCGCTCAATTTCAGCGGCATCATGGTCGATATTATTTGTTTACTACCCACTCCTGCTTGGAGCGCAATTGGATGTGCTGCACCAGTGCATTCTCAAAGCTGATGAGCGCTACCAAACAAAACTCTCCGCCTTGTGAGCTGATCCTGTCGGTACCGACGATAGATCTAAGCTGATTGGGCTCATCTATCTGTTTTTTAGGCAGGTGATCAAGACTTTATGTTCTGTCCTTGCAGAGGATACAGCCAGCTACTTAGTGCAACGGAGTTCCCGTTTACTTGCACAGACGAAGCTTTGACTCAAAGAGTCCGCGTTGGCCAGCGCAAAGAGATTGTAATCGCTTGTTCCAACAAGGAGCAAAACCGTGAGCCTCTAACGTAAATAGGTAGCTCTGCAATTTCAGGTGTGACATGAATTTCTGATTTATTATATTTAGACTAGTACATAGGATCAATGTTTTTTCACCATCTCTCACATCGAAACATCTCCATTGCTCATCGTGCGACTACCAGTCCACGAGTACCACGTTGTTCCCATTTTACTGAGTTATATCACCTTCATCGTGGAATTAAACAATTGAGCCAATGATCTTACTCGAACAGCTTTTTGTCTCCAATGTTCTATCGTTACTTTTTTATTGATTTCATTTGAACGTCTAATTTATTTCTATCTTGCTTTTCACGCGCATACATCACACTCAAAATTGAAACGTCGCACTCGACGGATAGTATTTTTTATGAAAGCCAGGACATTAGGCAGGGTGGGTAGTAAAGCGAGCTAGACAGCAAGTGAGACCTTCAGTGCATGCACTACCCTCAAAGCGGGCGGCACTTGACAATTAATCACGTGTTAGTGATTAATCGATTTCAACCAAATGCAGCAGGCATCTAAGCGCTTTGTCACTTAATATATGGAATGTCTGGATGTCTTCACAAAGGACAAATACCACCACCTACTAATAAGATGCAAGTCAAAGTTTATAATGCTGCGTTAGCAATTATCATCGTGTAGTTTTGTGTCAAAATCGAGCACATTTCAACATTTTTCCGGGCCAAACGAATTTCAAACAGCCTGGAAGGACGGCCTATGTTGAATCCATATAAAGTTGTAAGTTTTATCACAATGTTTCATTTCAAGCCACGAAATTTGGCTATTTGCTTTATCTGCGGCTTTTGCCCGTCACCTTATCCAAGCTTGCAATATCATTTGTCTATCCACCAAACTTCTAACAAAATAGTCAATGTTGAAATTTGTTTTTTCTAAATCTCGATATCTAATTTAGTCTATTGTAAGAGCACGCAGCATTAAATCAGGTTCCCTAACGTCAATCAAGTAAGTGCCTGTCTCGTAGGTCAAACATACGGCTATCGTTTAACCCCTTGTTTATGCGCGCTCAGGAAACTGATTCAAGACTCAAATCAAAAGTTTAAGGTTTGTCTCTTTCATAAATAATAGTCCAATACTGTACACGGTGCGCAATCATGTGACGGTAGCAGCCGTCTGCCATATGATGGCTCACCTGGTGCCACCGTATGGAGCCTAAGTGAGCCGATCTGTGTTCGATTTTTTTCGTGTTCTCCCCGTAAATGTATTCGAAATACGATACGAGTTAAGGTGACATAGGCTCTAGCGAGCTTGCATGCGTAGCAAAGTCCAAAATTTGTTGACTATCTCTTGAAGTCTGGACGTGCAATGCAGCTTTTTTACAGCCGATCTGAAACCTTCACGCGTCGCAGAGGATTTCGGCCAATTGCCAAAGACTATCGCGAAGAATACCGAACCCAAGATAAACAATTGGTCCACCCGCCCTCGCGGAATTGATTTGCCACAGTGAAACCTACCCGTCCACTCGTCTTGATTGCTCAAGGCTTCCCCCATTGAAGCCTCAAGATGCACCAGCGACGGCAGGCGGAGAGCACGAGCGGAAGTGGTGACATGCCCCAACGCCCGCTCATGACTCCGTTCTCGTCCCATCTGGGAGTCCCCTATCAACACCACCAACACCTCCATGCGACCAACTATCTACAGTATCCTATGCCCATGGAGCCTTCTCTACGAAATTACAGTCATCAACAGCAGCCGATGCAGCAATTGCTCCTTCCACCACAGGGAATGTATTGGCAGGCACCAACGGGGCTAGACACTTTAGGCTACAACACAAAACAGGGACGACACGGTAACAGCTTGGACCTGGAGGAGCTCGGAGGCATGCTGGAGGCCGACTCAAACTCGAATGCTGGTAGGCCACCGTCGAATGGACCGCCTGAGATGACGATGACGAATTTCGACGTCAATTCCTTTCACGAAGGCATGACATCGTCGAATCAAAATGCAGTTGTAAGCTCGGAAGCTTTTCCCCCGCCTGTAGCGCTATCGACAATGCCATCGAGACCACCAGTTACACCAACGATGTCAACACCGCCTCGTGTGACGAATACTAAGAAAACAAAAAAGGTAAATCCATCTTCATCAGATATCGCGACGAAAGCTGTCGTAGATGCTGCGTTTACCCAACTCAGCGAATCACCACCAAAATCCGATCTTCGGCCGGGCAAACTCTTCAAAGACAAGAGTGAAAAATGCCAATTTCATGATTGCCCAAACCGAGCTCGCGTATCGCAGTCATACGGGAAGTTCTGTAATCGACACGTCATTGTCGCGCCCTGTGGCTTTCCTGGCTGTCGGGATAAGGCAATGGACCGAGGTGCTATGTGTGCCACGCACACAGAACAGGGTAAAGAAGCACTTCAGAAAATCTTGGACGCACGATCTCAGAATGTACCCGTGTGCAAAATCTCTGGCTGTTTCAAGAATGACCAAGGTCGGGGCTATTGTCGTGGACATGAAAAACTACTCATGGCTACTGGACGTCTACCACCGCACATTAATAAGCGACGCCTCAACAGTGCGTATACCATGTGCAGTTATCCTGACTGTTCGAAGCATTCTCAGCGTCATCACTTGTGTCGAACGCACGGGAACCTGCTCATTAAGCAGGCTCGGGACCTAGCTGATCGACCCGGAGCCACGGATACCTTTGAAGACATATTGAGCCGAATGCAAAAAGAAATTCGGCGTTGCACACACGAAAATTGCTCAAAAAACTCACAGCGCGATCGACTATGCACGACGCATTATTCTGAGAAACATAACTTACAGAAAGATGCTTTAGCTGCTGGAACCTCTGGCTTAGTCGTGAAAGATAAGAAGGATGTAAAAAAACCAAGAGGAGGCGGTTGTGGGGACAATGGTCGAACTGTCGAACGAATTTCTTGTGGACACCCAGGGTGTGGGAAGCTGTCGTACGCTGAAGGACTGTGTGCTGAGCACATGAAAGAAAGCCAAAATTCTATATCGACTCATGCTCGATTTGGCCCTTCGTTTTCAGCCGAGAAGCGTTGCGGTCCCTTTTCCAATGATACGAATAGTGTAGCAAAAGCAATATCAAGCGAAAATCCTCAAGTCTCTGACCTTCCCCTGTCAGAGGGTATAAGCAATCACACCAAGTGCACGAATCCAATGTGTGATCGAGAGAGTTATGGCCAAGATTACTGTGAGGCATGTCAGCGGCTCTTTTCGTCGCTTGCGACGCCGATAAGTCTGACCCCATCAGTTGGATACATGCACAACGCAACGAGTGGAAGTGCTATTCATTCTGATAGCAAGTCCTTACTGTGCCGCGTGAGCGACTGTGAACAAGGTTCTGTTCGTGGTGGACTATGTTCTGCGCATCTTCGGGCCTTTCGAACAGGACTAATATCGGTCGACAATTTGAAACTAGAGTCTCAAGCTCAACAAATACAGCATGAACAGGAGCTGGCGGAGGCAGCAGCAGTTGCTGCTGCTGCCGCCGACGATAAGCAATCAAATTCTTCTGCCTCTAGCAAGGTCAAGAAATATTATTGCAAGGTGGAAGGGTGTGGTAAGCAGGCTCAAAAGCAGCACATGTGCAAGCGTCATCACCGCCTGCAAGAAGACTATCCTGTCTCTAAGTCGCAGCTAGAAGCATCGATGAGTGGTCCGCTCAGCAACTACGTCCATGCAGTTCCTCAGACTGTGTTTGCTCAGCCCATTACCACTTGTCAATTTGCCAACTGCTCGCAAGTAGCTTGTAATGGCACACTTTTATGCTTAGCGCACTCCAAAGCGACCTTTTGCTGGCAGCCGGAGTGCGAAAACCTTGTTAGCCATCAACAGTATTGCGACTTTCATGCGTTTCGTCAACAGTGCGCGTATGAAGGCTGCATGTACAGTGCTGAGCGAAATTTTAGTGGTTGCTCAAATCACGCAATGGCCCCGAGATGTCGTCACGATTTCTGCGACAAATACGCTGTGAGTATGGACAGCGAGTGGTGTAGGCTGCACCAGATTGGCTGTCAAGACAGTCCTTGTATACTATGCAAGCTGCATGGCCTTTCTGTGGGTGGATTCGGGCCTAATCAGAATGAAAATACTAACCAAAGTCGGTACAACGAAAATGTGCAAGGATGGAGGTGATGCAATGACCAGTATTTCAGTTTATTCGCTTGAGATGTTGGTGTAGTGATTGTTGTTCGTGTTTCGAGGCTTGCTGTCGTTGGTAGGACGGTCTGGACTTGTTCGACAATTTGGAAGTGATCATAAACAGACCGGTAAGTATTACACTTTTGTTCAAAACACCATGCGCATGTGCCATGAGGTTTCAATTTTCCGCAGAGCATTAAGAGTACTTTAGACCTGGAAATATGTAAAAAAGCGGCGCTTCACATCTTGAAGTGGTTCAATATATGGCTCAAGCTCGACGCACAACGACTCTACAAGTTGTTCTGGGCTTCATAGACGTATATGTTATGTAAATATCTAATATGAAGCAAAATATTGTGGGAAAACATTCTTTTGAGGACTAAATTGCAACAGGTAGAAGCACATTGTAAGTTACAAGTTTTGACCCATTATAGTGATACGCTGCTGGTACTTGCGACAATTACCCATTGTAAAATGTAGCTCATCCACATGACTTATAGACCTTCACTACCGAATGTCTACCGAATGCCTACAGCAGGCATATCATATAAGAAGCTTCATGTTTCTCGTAAGATAACCGAGATCTGGCTGGTATTCCCAAGCTCTTTATAAATAACATCATGAGAATGGAGGATTTGTGAGCGCCATGTTCTACATGATAACTCTGGACAAAATAAATAATATTTTGGATCTGCATAGCATAGCATAGAGATATCATTTTGGCTGTAAAATGCAGTAACGTCACATTTGCAGTGCATTTGCTCAATGATCATGGCCCCGTTAAGCTAATACTATAATGTTAAATCGTCTTTGAAAGGTTTGAGTGATCAGATTCGCTGGCATTATTATACCTACTAATTTCGAGCCAGTTCGGCACTATGATTATCGGATCAGGCTTGTGGACCCAGCTGCTTGACAGTCATTAAGTATCAATGAACAGAGGGTGCGAGCCGTGATGTCCTGGCTATATATAAATTTGCACTGATAACGGCATATATGCAGTAAGCCGATACATAAGGAGGACCGTAACGTGCTAGAATCGATACAATTCAGAGAAAGAAGCTTAAACGCATCGTATTTCCTCTTCTTCATTATGCTTGTTATGGTGCTATAGGCGGTCTTTTGACCCGATAATGACCGCTGTATTCATGACACACCCCCTTAAATTGCGCTGTGTGCGGTATTTGTGATCAGATAGGTACCTGAGCAGAATATTAATACGGTGAAAATAATCTAGAGCGAATATGTCGTAAGCATACAGTCAAAATATTGAAGCTGATTGCGCACTTCTGTCGATACTGCAAATTAATGCGCAGAGAGCAACCTAAAACGCCTTTGTGTTGCTGGATAACTTATCGTCGAATACTAAGATTTTCTCAAAGCCTTTATAAGTGTTTTATCAATTATAAAGTATATTATTGCATCTTTTATATTAATGACATACATCATTCTAATCACGATAGATTGATGCACCACCAAGAATCCATACACGATGCCCACGATAATAATTTCGCTTTAAATTTTTGTTTCTTCAATCTCCACGACTACACCAGGACCACTAATTGTTACTGTTTCTTCATCAAGGGAGTCAGTGATATGCTGACTAAAATATTTTGAAAAATCAACTTCAGGGTGCTTCGAATGCTTTAAATATATTTGCTCGTATCATCTATTTCTTTTGAATGGAAAGACGCTTTCATTGAAAAAACGGATTGTGACGAAGTGGAACTTGCCTCAAATATTTCTTTGTAGGACACCAATATCTGTAATACTTCATTCGTCCATCACCCACTTCACAAATTCATTTTATTTGGAAGGCGCAATTTTCAATCAACACATTTGTCTTCGCTGAAACGAATATCGGTGGTCTCGTAAATGAATGGATACGATATGGTACTCCAACCCTTCACCAATATTAAGTGTACCTTTGATAGTTCGAAATAGCTCAATACTAAATGTTAAAGGTCTCATCATATACGTCAGCCTAACCATCTCGTTTCTCATTGAAGAAAGCAGCGCTGCAGCAGCACCGACGATAATATCGACGCCGGACTAACCGATATTTGAAATGACCGCCCGCCATAGACGACGCCAACTTGTGAGAGTCTTAATTTTGCTAATATTTGCCTCCCAACATTGTCCAAGTATGCTTTGTTTCTTTGCAGGACACCCCGCAAATTTGCGAAGCCGCCATCCCGTCGACTACGTTTGCACAGCTCACATACTGACAAAGGACCATGTAGACGTTAATGACTATATCGATGACCCTTTTGCCACCTTAAATAGTGCTGTCAATGAAAATACATGACGCTCAGGAGAAACACCACAGATACTGCGGCTGAAGGTGGGTTTAATCGTGTTACATTATTGGTCCGGCAGATTTGGTACACAACAGACTAGATAAGTATTGCGAATTCTTTTGGGTTCATCTGCGGTGCACCAAAACAAAGTGCCGTTGGGTGTATTTGTCGAGAATGGCAACAACAACGTTCATCTTGTCCAAGACCAAATGGACGTTGCCTACTTGATTGCAATGCCGATTTCGATATAAAAGATATGCTTTCAGCGGTCGGGTGGCGACTTTGTGATGGATTGAACGCACAGTACCAGGACGTGGGGTCTGTTTAAGTTGAGATATTTAAACATGATGACATGTATAAATAATAGCATGTACTTACAGTGTTCAATATGCTTGTGGAACTTTGATAATTACATCAGCTACCAAAAGCTTCTAATTTTCTCGTTGGACCAGAATACTACTACTCCCATGTAGTATTTTTCAAGCAACACAGCTCCTCTGGTACAAATTCCAGGAAATTGTCATCGACCTGGATTAAGTTGAAAGACGCTTGATTAAAAAATTATTTCTCTGTTTTGAAACATTTCTGTGTCAGTTGCTCACGTATTAGTGGAAGGTCTGCAAAAGACCAAGTACAACATTAAAATAGCGCAGCGAGTCACACTGAAATTGCATATGCAAAACCAGTATTTTGTACGGAATAAATAATTGGTATTGTGTTGCATGCTGTGTTGATTGCTGAGTAACTGCCTGAATGTGTTATGTATTCGCCAGACGTGTAATTGGCAAATATAATGAGAGTCAGAAAAGCTTAAATTTTTCTCATGCACAACTTTTTGCTGTTCCAAAACCTTCGTTTTTTGGCCATGAGGTTTATATTTCCAGATGCTTCACGGTTTATGGAAAACAGTAAGAATTCTACTATAAAATAAGAAGCTCTTGTTTAGAATAATTTATCGCATGATCAGGATTCATCACGGATCAGTCTCTGCAGCATCGATCTTGGTGGCTGGATACGACACTGGCATAATGAACGCGCTTTCCTTTATGACATTAATTTCAGATGCAATTTGCGGTGGATGGTTGCCGTGCATTTCGCTTAATAAGTATTCAGTTCAAAGGGTCCACGTTAGCAAGCGCACAAAAGTTGAATTTATAAGTGCAACCAACTGTAAGAGTACATATGATTAAAATAATTTATGATCAGACCAAAAATACCAAATGCGTTTATAATTCTTCATAGAATGTGTCTTTTTTGTTGAACGTTTGTAATTAATCCTTTTTTTCAGAGTTTATAATCATCGGAAACAATGGATTTCCACAGCTACACAAATGCACATTATTATTTTATAAATAGTAGTAACAACTAAAAAATAATCTGTTTTATACAATCTACATCCATTAGTAAGCTTAATATTGAGGAATATAGATCGATGAGGAAAATTTGTATGCATCTGTTTCGACCTTCTTAGCGGGTGCTGGGTAAGAGAATGTGCTTGCTGTTGCTGCCGTGGACAAAATCGCTCGATCCGTAAGAAGGAATCCTTTGACGCATTAGATCGAGAAGTGAGATTGCGAGTTTTTTCTTTGGGTAGTAATTATGCGCGACATATAATAAGAATTAAAGATGATGGGATTTTTCGATATCAGCAAAATGCATCATAAACAGCGAAAAAAATGTACACTATACAAAGTCCGCACTGCGCTTTTATGCATTTCTGAAAATTTAAACGTCGATAATAAAAAAAATCTATCAGGTACGCGGAAAAAAAACACTATACCAGATATTTGAAAATGAAAAATAAACCAGATGTGTATATAGTTTTATATATATAAACATGTAAATATATTCGTGATGATTAAGAATACATCAAGTGCGCAGAAAAATAAAGTGACAAATAAAACATCGCGATATCTTGTGGAAATGACCCATACAAAGCAAGAAGATAATCTCTGACATGAAATAAATTGCCAGAAACCCTTAATATTCCAATTCATCACAGATTTGCTGTAATGATTTACAAACGCATCTACGAACCTGTTTCTTTCTAAGCTGATCACTTACCCGTTGAGACGGAATACGATTCTTGTTGGGTCTTCCGCGTTTCCTCATAATTCGATAAAGATTGCAATCAAAGAGTTCTTGATTGTTACTTTTATAGCTTCACTTGAATGTTCACTATATGCTGCTGCAAATGTTGATGTCTTCTATGTAGAGCGATAATATTTTCCGTCAATCATGGATTTTATCAGCATGTTTTAATGCAATGAGTGCAAATTACGATTGAACCAAAGTGCAATGTGAATTTGTGCAGTTGTACCGCATCAAATTAATTGCACTGTATAAAGATGTAAAAGCCCGAGGCGGTCGCAGCTACCGTCTTTATGAAGGTCCACCGCACTGGCGTGGCCAGAATGGATGTCTTCCGTGTGCATCCGTATTCCTTTAAAGAAGCGGTGAAAGTGGCCTTACATGACGAATTCAAATTCAAGTCGGCACGACTTGGATGGAGTGTATACCCCCAGAGCTCATC